AAAAAAAAAAAAAAAGAACTTTCGTATCACTGTTACAAATTTGTAAAAACGAAAATTGTTTTAAAAAAGAACCGTAATCAATGACCACTAAAAAAGAGACAAACATCAACAGCCTTACTGTATATTGATCAAAGTTTTGAGGTGCAGCAAAGTTACAGTTGTTTATCTCAGAACAACCGTTTCAAAAATTATTTTCCATTCACTGCCACGCCTCTTCAATACGATGATTGGCACATCAGCGCCTTGGAGACTTACAGATGCTTATCGTGGCACAAATTGTCTCTGCTGGTTACTCAATTAATGGCGACAAATACAAACAACAAAACAGAGGTGCAGTTGAAACAGATTTTTTTAGGATTGATCAAAGAAGAAGAACCGCTAAGCAAGAAAAAAAAAAAAAAAGGAGGGGAGAGAGAGGAAAAAGATAGGAAAAACAATAAAATTATGTATTCTGTAATAACTTTATCACTTATTACTGTCAACCGTTGCTATTTTTATGTGTTAATGATATCATTAATTTATGTCTTCTTGTACTTCTTCTTTTTCTGCTAAAATAATTAAAAACGTTTTGTAGTTATTTGTTACTAAATTGTGAACAACACAAAAAACTGCAGAGAAAAAAGAAAAATGATAACGACAAAAGGGGGAAAAAAAAAAGAGGAAAAAAAACCCCGGTTATAAAACCTTTTAAATGCTTCTGTTTAGTTTTTGTTGTCTTCTCCGGGGGTTGTAACAATAGTTATTTGCAGCTGAACGGATACAGATGCACAGAAAATGTTTGAAGAACAACTATTTGGTACAGTGATACGACCAATTATTTTAGTGAGATTAAATACGACTTTCATGAAAAAAAAAAAATTTTCTTTCCAGTATTGAATCTCTCTGTTTTATTTATAACTTTTAAAACTTTTGTCTTATTGAAGAAAGCTCATTTTTGCCTTATTAATGTTGTTAGAATTATATCTTTTTTTCAGCAATTTATGAGTTGAAACTATTGGTATATGCTGAAAAGGTAAGTTTTGATAATGTGAATGTGCTGACTAAGTTTTAAACAAATTTTTAAATGTAAATTGATCAATGACTAGTTGCCTACTAAGTAATCAACTCTTTATAAACCCTTTATTTTTTGAACCGCTATTTTGGTTGAAGTAAAAAAAAACTTACTAAAGAATTATTTACAGCAAAGA